GGAAAGCTTCTCTGTTTTGACGTTTACTTCTTCGTATGCTGTGGACTGCTTTCCACCATTTCTCTTCCTTCCATCATTTTTTTCATGTCCACCTCTCTCTCTCTCTCTTTTTTTTTTTCTCCTCCTCTCTCTCTCTTTCTCTCTTTCTCTCTTTCTCCCTTTATCTACCTCTCCCCTCCTTCGCTCTCTCCCCCTCTCTGTGCCTTTTTACATCGCTCCCCTTCTCCCCTTCCCACTCTCCCATTCTCCTCTCCCTCTCCCCTCTCCCTCCCCTCTTTCACTCCCCCACCCCCCACCCCCTCACCTTTCTCTCTCTCTCTCACTCACTCTCTCACTCTCTCTCTTTCTCTCTCTTTTTTTTTTTACTTACCTGCAGCTGCAACTGCTGCTGAAGTAACTCATCTTCCCTTCTTTTCTGCAACAACAGCTGCTGTTGCTGTTGCTGCTGTTGCAATTGCTGCTGTTGCTGTTGCTGTTGCTGTAATTGTTGCTGCTGTTGTTGCTGTTGGAGTTGCTGTTGCTGTTGTAACTGCTGCTGCTGCTGCAACTGTTGCTGTATCTGGATCTGCTGTTGTATTTGCTGTTGTGACGACTGTGGGGGTGGGAAAGAAGGCTGTGGCTGTTGCTGTTGCTGCTGCTGAAACTGCTGTTGCTGTTGGAACTGCTGTTGCTGATTGCTGTTCACGAAAGGCCTCACGGACTGGCTCCCTAGCTGTGGCCCTCTAGGGTTCCCTCCGGGAAACTGTGATTGTTGAACGAGAGTCCTGGGAAAAATAAGAATGTGAGCTGTGCTGACAAAATGAGTTACTTCTGGCAATCCACAAATCGATATATTGGCCAAAAATGGACACTAGAGTCAAATTTGTAACATTAAAATAATTGATGCCATATTCTTTAAATGCCTTTATTATATTTTATAATGAATGTGAATGGTACAAACTTCACCTATTAGGGTGATGTATTTTTTTCCATAAGGCTCGAATCCGAGACGTATCTCATTTTGTCAGCACATTTCACAAATGATGAAACGCCATGGGTTTAACGCCCCTATCAACATTATTAGGTTATTTAAGGGGCGGGACCTCCTAGTTAAACGTCTCCTATAGGACCGAGCCAAGTGGGAAGTTCGTGTAAATTTCCTATCTCAAGGACTCAACGTCGGGATAGGCACTTTACACGAACTTCCATTCCTTTGTCGACAAAAGCAAGGGTGATCTCACTACGGAATTCCCCCAAATGAATGAATGAATGAGGCAGGGTTGTGAAATCAGGCGCTTGTCAAAATAATGAACTTGAAACTTGAAAAAACGGGCATGTTTCTGCCAATTTGGACTTTATCTCGAATTATTTTTTTTTGGCTTAATACCTTTATTGCCCAATTAAGAAAACCTTTCTTGGTCGATTTTACAATTTTACAGAAAGACTTTGATTAAAGGCACAAAAAGTAAGTTTTTTCAGTTTCCACGGGCTATCAAGTTATAGAAATGACCAAACCGTGGCAGCTATTTTGTCGCTAATTCAACCTTTGAAACCAATCGACCCCGCCTTCTTCAATCTCAAAACATTTTACTGCATGTGGTTGCATGAGGCATCTGATGTGAATGTAATTTGTGAGGCAGCCTAGTGGAATCAGGCTCTCGTCAAAATAATCAAAGTGAAGAAACTTACATTTTTCCGCAGGTTTGTGAATTTTTATCAAATTTTTGTTTTTTAGCTCAACACTTTACATGTCCATTAAAGAATTCATTTCTGTTTGGATTTTTTCTGAAAAACGTTGATTGAAGGGACAAAAAATGTAAATTTTCAGTTACCACGGACTCTATGGAAATTTTCTCACTAATTTTACCTCTCCAAAACAGATGACCCCCATCCCCTTCATTCGCAAATATCTCGACTTGTATTCAAGACAAATGGATATTTTTCTCATCCAAATAACGACAAGTGAGAGATAATGCCTCTAACTCTACATGCCCAAAAATTTACGAGAGCCTGATTCCACCACGCTGCCTCACATTTATGTCAGCTTTACATCTCTTTTCATATCTAAAGAAAAGAGAAAAGACTTACGGCTGCGGCAGCTGTCGGGCTTGGGTGGGCAGGGTTCCGGGCACGGTGCCCGACTTGATGAGGGACTCTCTCTGGGCGGCCGTCAGAGGACGGATTCTGCCCGAGCTGTCACGTCT